TTCACAATATAGTGAATTTTGTTTTCATATGTTTAATATTCTGTGGGCTCGATTTATTTTCATTTTTATTAAACTATTTCATATAGTATAGGTTGATTGTATTTAGGCACTCTCTCCTATCTGTATCCCGTTTACTACTCCTGCCCAATTTCATGTTCTCTCTTTCTCTCCTTCTCTCTCTCTCTCCATATATATATGCAGACATTTTCTGGATATTGGTCAACCTATGAAGAATCCCATCCATGAAAGAGAAACTTTCTCCCCTTCCCTGAAGCCTGTGGTGGCCAGTACTTCCTCAAGTATCATTGGTGATTTTTTATCAACCTCTCCATGTCTATGCTGGGATTTTGCCTATCTTGAACTTATGTGGGACTTGTACATGCTATCACCAATGCTGTGATTTCATGAGTTATTTCCTAATTGTGTATAAATCTCTATTTCTTTGTGTTCGTCCACTATCAGTGACTCTTAAATTTTTTTTGTTTTGCTATTCTGCAACGATCCCTGTGGCTTCAGAGGCAGCATTTTGATATCCATGTCTACTTGGGGATAGGTAGTATGCAACTAATTATCTGTGCATTAGTCAGCTGTGGGTCTTTGTATGATTCACCATGTGCTGCATACAGAAGCTTCACTAGTGACAAATGAAAGACGCATTAGTCTACTGGTCATCTGGAGTAATTTAATACTATACATATTTTGCAGAATAATAAGATTAGGCTATCTCCTATGACCCCTAAGCCTCATATTCATGCCAGATATGGGCTCTACCTTATGAAGGACACCTTAAGTCCAATTAGAAAGTGATTGTTAACTCCCAAAATATTTGTGTCACTGTTGCACATACCTTGCCAGAACAGTTTTGTTGTAACTGCCAGGATTCACATCTGGGTAAAATTGATGATCGGTTTTCTCTATGGTAGCATACAAAGCACTATGGAGACTAGGCAGTAGAGATGGAGCTTTCAAGTCAGTTACAGCTTGATTTCTCCTTTTTTCTTCTATAGCTCATGGGTGTAGTATCTTCAGCAGCTGCATGTTGTCATCAAATCCTGTTGGTATGAGAGGATTAGTATCTAGAATGTATGATGAACTCAAAATATTAAACTTCAAAATACATACAACTCATTGAATATGGGACAAGGAGCTGGGCAGGCAGTTCTCCAAGGATGGAATAGAAATGTCTAAGATCTTTTAAAATATTGTTCAACAGGGGCTGGAGAGATGGCTCAGCAGTTAAGAACACTGGTTGTTCTTGCAGAAGGTCCAGGTTTGAATCTCAGCACCCACATGGCAGCTAACAACTGTCCATAAGTCCAGTCCCAGGGGATCTGACAGGCTCTGCTGACCTCCACAGGCATTGCACGACACGGTACACTTACCTACATGCAGAAAATACACAAATACACATAAAATTTTTAAAATAAAGTAAAATGTTTAAAAAGTTAAAAAAAAAGTTGTACATCAGTAGTCATAAGGGAAATGTAATTTAAATGATTTTGTGATCCATTCACCATGACTAACATCCAAAAACCAAACAACAAGCTGGGTGTGGTAGCACATGTCTTTAATCCCAGAATGGAGAGTGGGAGCTGGGCACAAATTCCAGCCCGTGGTCAGAGGTATTGGTAATAAATAGGTACTGGGTCAGTGTTCATCAAGGGTGTGGCCCCAGGTATGTCATCTTCTCTCCGTGGATGACCCCATATTGAAGTGTTTATGTTCAGTTCAGTGCACATTTTATATTTGGGTAAAAAAATAAATGAAAAAGAAAAATCAGAGAGCAAAATATTGGGTAGGTCATGAACAGATGGACTTGCAAGGACTTCTTGGAGTGAAGGACAATTTGATAAAAATACACTTTGAAATACTCATAGAACTAATAAAAAGTGGGAAAAAGTACATCACATGCCATTATCTGTCCTCCTCTATTTAAATGCTTACAAATATAATATACAAATTCAAACAAAAACATTGATACATGGGTAATACCAGACTTTATATGTAGCTGTGCTTTTTGTTTGTTCTCCAAATGTAATGTTAAGTAAATGAAAAAAAAATATTTGTGAGATAACAGTAATGATCCCATCTAGACTTGGGCTGTTTCTTGGAGAATTGAAATGCTGCTTCATTTTCTTTCTCTTGCATTTAATATTGACAGGTCAAATGTCTTTAGGAATTCATTCATTTCTTCTAGATCCATTTCTTTTATCTTTTTGAACATGTATCAGTTGTTTTTTAATAGCAATTTGTATTTCACTGAAGTCTTTTCTAACAACTTCCACATACCTGTATTTTTATTAATTTGTTTTTACCGGCACTTTTTTGGTTCCCTTTTCCAGGCTTTGGTCAGTTTTATTTTCAATGGATAGACTGATGGAGTTCATGTAATGTTTTATATTGTGTGTTTTGATTTTTTCCTTTTCTGTTGGTTGTTTCTTACCATCTAATGCACAGGGTTTATCTTCATTCAGGAGAAAATTGAATTCCATTTCTATGTTATTTTTTTTCACACCTTTATTTGAGGTCATGATTTTTATCGATAATGTTTTCCTTCAAAGAAAAAATTTGTAGGAATTTGAAAATTCCCACCTTGGGTATAACAATGACCCAAAATTCATTAAAATGACATTTGCTCCTTAAATATTTCCACACTTTCATTTCCTTTCTAGATTATTTGTAGTTTTCTTCCACTATTATTTAAAAATACATGATCATATTTTCTTTTTCTGAATCAGCAGATTCATTTAGCTGGCCAGACACTGCACCTCTATGAGTCAATTTAGAGAATGCTGCACTAAGTGGGAGGGGATGGGAGCTTTTAAAGGTTAAGTCCAAAAGGTAAAGTCTTTGAAGAGATTTACTCAAAGAGTAGTAGTCAAGTGTTTGTTCTTGTACATGGGCAAGCAAGCAGTTCAATCAATTTTTAAAAACACTTGTTTTAGATGATGCTGGCTTTGCAACCCATATTGTGATCTTTTCAAGAATATGAAAAACTTTCATTCTTCATCTAAGTAACAGTCATTGAAATCCTGTTTATCTATGAAATAATTCAGATCTTGAGGGTTTTGTCCCCCAAATTTTAGGAAAGTCTACTATACATTAAGGTGGTGGTCTGACATTGCTAATATTTTTATATCAGAATCAATTTTAAGCTTTTATCTACTTGGTCTTTGTATTATAAAATTAGGAATCTTTACATTACATTAAAAGATTTTGCAATTGTTCTCTATAAAAATTTCTGTCTACTAATATATACTGATCACTTTATCTCTTCTACCTATATTCACTTGCAGTCTGCTTTATGATCTATGGGAATTGATATTCCTCTTTGTTTATATATTCTTTAAGCTGTTCATTTGTTTGCTCTATGTTTCTGAATGTCATTACAGTAAGTGTGTTTCTTGGATGGAAGAGGTACTGAAATCTTACTTTAAACCCACCCTTCTTGACTCTTTTAATTGGTGACCTGAGGCAATTATCATTTAATATTATTATGGGAGAATTTTTTAATTCAAGATGATTTTGCTGGTGTTCTGGCTGTTAGAAACATTGCTTAGTATTAATCTTTATTAGTATTAATATTGAGCTCTACTTTGTTTTCTGTATCACTAATGGTGGATTCCTTCTGGAATATGGTGCGTTCATCAATTACTTTTTACAGTTGTATTCTCACTTCTGTTCCCATGAATGAGACTGTCTTTCTCCTCTGTGTATCTTGTTTGCTTCCATAAATTCTGAAGTGATGACTTTCTTGCCATGAATTGGTAAATTTCTTCAAATGAACTTCATCCTTAATAAAATTTTTTTAATGAAAAGCACCTCAAGTTTGTATTGTTCCAGTGTTATTTTACGAAAATAGAATCCTGTGGTTGAGAGTAAGTGGGAAATTTTAACACAAGTTACATTTTGAGATGTATCTATTTTACTCAGACTAGATGAACTTTTATTAGTAAAATGCAAGTTCAAATGCATGGGAACTTTTGCTGATCTAGCACACTCCACCCTTGGCTGCTGTCTAGTATTTGATTCATTTTGAGGTTCATCTTATGTTATGATTACTGATAAGTAGAGAATGTTCTTGAATTTTTACTTGTCAGATGTACCAATTATTTTAAGTTATGGAAAAGAAAAGAAGGCAGAGAGGAAAGGTTTGTGAAGTATGCAATAACCATCTTCCCTCCCTCCTTCTATTATAGAGGAGCACCGATACAACTTATACTCACCCAGACTCCCCCTCCAGGTGCACTGAGCTGGTCCACAGTGAGGAGTTAGTGTGGGTAGTCCTCCATTAATTTTAGGTGATACCTTTTCTACAAGTCAATTTTAGTTAATATGTTCACTGTCAGTATGATAAATGTATTTTTACATTGTTTCACGATGTTTTCCCTCTGGTGTTTCTTGACAAGAGATCTGATATTGTTATGAATTTCCTGCCTTTGTATTACTTGGTATTTTTTCCTGACAGGATTAAGTATTGATTTTTTTTGCTTACTATTTTTCTCATGTTGCTATGGCTTGTTATGCAGAGCTTGATTAATACTTATTTCAACTTTCTAAATGACTCTTTTGTGATTGTATGTCCATGAATTGCTGTATTTTTCATATTTCCAAACTTATTTTTATTGAATAAATTTTGTCATTTAGTTTTGATTTCATCTCCCTCTTTTACATTACAGAGTTTTATTTTTGTTCGTTTGAATGTTTCTCAATGTTGACATTTTACCCACATATTACATGTTCTTCATGGATCTGTGAATATGTGATTGTCTCAGCCTTGTTCTCCATATTGAAATGTTTTCTTCTCTTTTGCTTTGCCTGGAGAACTCAACTCTTAGAAGACATCGGAGGGTGTATAACATAGAGAAATCCTGTAAATGTGAAGAATGTGACAACTCCAATACACATGTTTCAAATCTTAGAAAGCATAAATATATTCATACTGGAGAGAAACCCTATAGTTGTGAAGAATGTGACAGGTCATTTATTTGGATGTCAAGGTTCAAATTACATCAGAGAGGTCATACTGGAGAGAAACCCTACAGATGTGAGGAATGTGGAAAGTCCTTTGGTCAAAAGTCAACACTTAGAACACATCAGGAAATACATACTGGAGAGAAACCCTACAAATGTGAAGAATGTTTCAAGTGCTTTAGTCAAATGTCAAATCTCAGAGTACATAAGCGAATCCATATGGGAGAGAAACTCTACAGATGTGAAGAATGTGGCAAGTCCTTTAGACACATGTCAGGTTTTAGAGCACATCAGCAAATACATACAGGGGAGAAACCCTATAGATGTGAAGAGTGTGGCAAGTCCTTTAGTCAAATGTCACCTCAGAGAGTAGTACATCAGTGAATACACACTGGAGAGAGACCCTACAAATGTGAAGAATGTGGCAAGTACTTTAGTGAAACGTCAATTCTTAGAGCACATTATCAAATACATACTGGCGAGAAACCCTACAGATGTGAAGAATGTGTCAAGTGCTTTAGTCAAATGTCAAATCTTAGACCACATCAGCAAATACATACTGGAGAGAAACCTTACAAATGTGAAGAATATGACAAGTCCTTTAGTGAAATGTCAAATCTTAGAAAACATCAGTGAATTCAAACTGAAGAGATACCCTACATATGTGAAGAATGTGTCAAGCTCTTTAGACATATGTCAAATCTTAGAGCACATCAGTGAATACATACTGGAGAGAAATGCTACAGGTGTGAAGAATGTGTCATGTCCTTTAGTAAAATGTCACCTCTGAGAGTGCATCAGCGAATACACACTGAAGAGAAACCCTACAAATGTGAAGAATGTGGCAAGTCATTTAGTCAAATGTCAAGTCCTAGAGCACTTCAGTGAGTACATACTGGAGAGAAACCATACAAATGTGAAAAATGTGTCAAGGCCTTTAATAAAATGTCACATCTGAGAGTACCTCAGCAAATTCATACTGGAGAGAAAGCCTACAGATGTGAATAATGTGGCAAGCCCTTTATTCAAATGTCAAGTCTTAGAGTACACCAGCAACTACATACAGGAGAGAAACCCTACAGATGTGAAGACAGTGGCAAGCTCTTTAGTCAAATATCAAGTCTTAGAGCTCATCAGTGAATACATACAGGAGAGAACCCCCACAGATGTAAAGAATTTGGCAAGTCCATTAGACATGTGTAATATCTTAGAGCACATCAGTGAAAACATACTGGAGAGAAACCCAACAGATGTGAAGAATATGACAAGTCCTTTAGTGGAAAGTCAATACTTACAGCCCATGGAAGATATGAGACAATACATACCAGAGAGAAACCCCACAAATAAACAGGTTTGAGAAGTCCTGTAGTTGTATTTCAACTCTTAGAGAACATCAAAGAATTTACAATAAAAGGAGACAATGCAAATATAAAGAATGTGACAATTCCTTTAATAATATGTCAAATTATTGTGTTAATTATTGTGGCAGTTATCAAAAACTCATACTAAAGAGATAGTTTACAATTGCACAGAATGTGGTGTTCCTTTACCCTTGGCTCAATCCTTAGAAAGCAAAGCACAATCCATACTAGAGGGATATATCTAAAAGTTTGGAAGGTGCTCAAATGCTTACATTTATATATTACAAAACTTCATAGTGTACTGAAGGAAAATTTAGAATTAAGCCCAAATTGCAAAATCTCTAATAAAAATTTATCTTTAATTCATAAGTGTGAGAAACTAGAAACATAATTACTGTGAGAAACCCTTTACTTTCTCATCCAATCTTGTTGAATATTACAGAATGTTTATTGTAGAGAAAGCCTACACATAAACAAAACATGTCTGCCACTATTTACAAATGGCTTCTGTCTTAGGAAACATCAGAGATGTCTCACAACATTCAAAGGCAAATACCTCATTATTTACTGTCAAAGAATACACTGTGTGAATAAAGCAGGGTTCTGGATAGCTTTAGTGTCAACTTGACACACCTGGAATAGGGAGCCTCAATTGGAGAATTGCTTCTGTTTGACTGGCTCCATGTCCATGGGGCACCTTCTTGATTGTTGAGTGATGTGGGAGGGCCCAGCCCACTGTGGGTGGAGCCATTCCTGGGTAGGTGGTCCTGTATTGTATAAGAAATCAGTGTGGGCAGGGGCCAGGGGAGCAAGCTAGTAAGCAGCATTCTTCCATGGCCAGTGCTCCAGCCTCTGCCTCCTGGTTTCTGACCTGAGTTCGAACCTTGGACTCCCTGATGAACCCTGGGTGATGTAAGCCAAATAACCCCTTTCCTCTGGACTTTGCTATTGGTCAGGGTGTTTCTTCACAGCATTGGAGAAACAAACTAGGACAAGAACCTATGTATCATTGAGTTGCCACATATTCTCTAAATATCATGCAAATATGTGAAAATGTTAATACATGTACGGGACTTGGAAAATCCTAAAGTGCACAAAGTCATTGTATCTTAATTTGCATATGAAGGGGGAAAGATTTATGCAAATATCTTTTTCAAGGTGGAAATTCCATAATAAAAAGGACAGGACACAGTACAGTCCCTATAATATGACAAGGAAGACTATTATAGAAAAAGTTTTAAGAATTTATGTCAAGTATTTTTCTATATTTTCATCAAATGTTATATATTTTGATAGACATAATTCTTCTTTAGAAACATTTGTATTCTCAAAATTGGTAACATAGGCTAGTTTGACCTTCAGCTAAATTCCTCTTTTCACTAAGCATGCTAACTCATACCTATAATCCTGGTACTTGGAGGTAGAGACAGGCAGATCTCTGTGAGTTCAATGCCAGGCTGGTGTAGCTGGTGAGTTTGAGGTAGCCTGGGATTACAGGCAGACCCTGTCTCAAAAAAAGGTCCCCTGACATTCCTATTTTATAATTTATAAAGGACATCATGAAAATTTATAGCAATCTTTGACTCAGAGTAGAAGGGATATATTTTTGTTCAGTGCATTAGCAATGCTTCATTAATGCCAATTGTTCCAAGAATAATTCATGGAGAAGGAAAATTCATCACAGTAGATGGATTTTTTTTTTGATAAGTGAGAATGCATTTTAGTGTGATGTAAGTTTGGGATATTTCTACCATAGGAAAAGAAATACAGAATCCTGAGTATTCAAAAGGTTTTGTATTACTGTTTCAATTTCTTTTTGTGTTATGGGTCTGTTTAAGCTGTTAATCTCTTCTTGGTTTAGTGTTGGTGGTTTCCATGCCTTCAGATATCCGTTCATTTCTTTTAGGTTTTCAAATTTAGTAGCATATATGTTTTTAAAGTATTCCATTACAATGTTCTGTATCTTTCTGGTGTCTGTTGTGATGTTTTCCCCTTTCATCTCTGATTTTGTTGATTTGGACGTGCTCTTTCTTTCTTCTGTTTAACTGGCCTAGTGGTCTGTCAATCTTGTTTATGTTTTCAAAGAACCAGCTCTTGGAATTGTTGATTCTTTGTATTGTTTTCTTTGTTTCTTTGCTATGAACAGGTTCAGGCTCAGTGAAAAGACAGAGGCAGCCTTATTTTGTACCTTGATTTTGTAGGAAAGTTTGCTTTTTTTTTTTTTTTTTTTACAAAAAGATTTAATTCCTGTCAAGCCAATGTCAAATTTTGAATATAGAGAATATTCAATATAAATAGCAAGAGTGGGTAGGTTTATTTTATTTCATTTTGGTTTTTGGTCGTTTTGAAATAGGGTCTCCCTGTAGCCAGAGCTGGCATGGAAGTTGCTATGTAGACCTGGCTGGCCTTGCTCAATATCACCCAGATTTGCATGCCTTTGCCTCCTGAGTGTTGGGACTAAATGTGTGCACCACCACACCCAGCTTGTAGGTTTATTTTTTAATTTTTTATTGAATTTTCATTTTATACAGAAAATCATCTTTATTACCTCCTTCCCCTTTGGCACCCTTCTATAGCTCCCTCCCCCAAAGGAGTTCATACATTCTGTCTTTTGTGTTAAGGTCTATCATGTAATGTTAGTGTCCCCAGATGGATCTAGTGTGCTTATCTAGAGTCCCTCTCTTTAAGAAGATTAGCTCTTCCTTACCCAGCAGTTAATCAGCTGCCAATAATTCTTTGACTAAGATTGGGGCCTGCTGCTCATTTCCACAATTCTGTGCTGGGTTTTTGTCTCCTTAAGTTTACATGGGTCTTGTGCATGCTGACACCATTGCTGTAAGTGTGTATGAGAAGAGACCCAAGAGCTTATAGGACTATTTCCATGTGGTCATACACGTCCTCCCTGACTCTTACAACCTTTCTGCCCCCTCTTCCGCAATGGTCCCTGAGCCCTGGGTGGGTGGGTTTTGCCATAGGAGCCCTGTCCAAGGACCCACACTCTGCAGACTCTTATTCTCTGAGTTTTAGCCCTTTGTGACCTATGGCTTTCCTGGCCCTCTGTTGCATGAGGGAGCTTCATTGAGGAGAACTGAGCAATGTATTAGTGTTTGCTTCATCCCTTCTCCTATGTCCCACTTAGACTTGGGCAATTCACTGACAATCTCTGTGTGTGACCAGTTGTGGAACTCTGTAGTTATGTCTGTCTCTTGAAAAAGAAGCTTCTTTGATGGGTGGTGCCTGGAATATTGTCTATAAATTGAAGGATCCATATTTTGCACCTAGGAAAAAATTACATTTGTCTAGGGATGTGACAGCTTTGGGGTTTTCTCTAAGATCTATGACTTCTCCAGCTAATGTGTATTTGGCTAGGTTCACAGTACCACACATTTCTCCCTTAGTAACACCTGTCTGTGGGAGACAGGCTTGACCCTAGAGTGGAAGTCATAATCACAGCCATGCAGCAGTCCTGGGGCAATGGCCCAACTGCTGGAGCCATGAGGAATGCCTTGTGATTATCACTCCATTTGGCAAGTCATAGGGCTGATGCTTAAGGCTTGCCACTCCCTAATTGCCACCCCTTGAAATTTCACATTTCGGTTTATCTACAGCTTGCAGCCCATGGGCGTAACGACAGCCATGTTCAAATGATTTACCAGAATCTGGGCTGCCCATATATGGCATAGTCGTTGTATCCTTGTCTGACTGGTCCCAGAACCAGGGTTGCCCATATATGGCATAGTCGTTGCATCCTTTTTTGATTGGTCCAGGAACCAGGGTTGCCCATATATGGCATAGTCATTGCATCCTTGTCTGATTGGTCCAGGATCCAGGGTTGCCCATATATGGCATAGTCATTGCATCCTTGTCTGATTGGTCCAGGAACCCTATATAAGCTTGTAAATTCATCAATAAAATAGATCTGCAGCACCTGCAGCACTGAACCTGGTCTCATGTGTCTAAATGTGGCTCCGCTGACACAGTCTCCTCACCAGCCCTGGGGTCCAGGATTGGGCAGCGACGATGATTGTGAAGGTGTATTGGACGGATGGCCACAGCTGGCGCCCAATGTGGGACTATGGTTTGAGCATGGAATGCCCTCTTTCTCACCCCTTTTTCACAGTGGGTGATCACTCCCCTCATCCTTGCGTCCTTGCTCTTTTGGCTTGCAGTCTTCAGTTTGGCATGTCCCTCCTGTCTCCGCTGATCATCTCCTTAAGTGGCTCCTGAGTCCCTCTGGGTATGTCTTGCAGGGTAAGTTACCTACAGAATGGGGAATAGTCATTGAGCTGCCACCGGCCCCTGTGCCACAGTATTGGTTTCTCTCGTCAGGCGCAGGTGAATTAAGATAACAGAAAAGGATGTAGCTAAGGTGCTAAATGAAGTATTAGCTCTTGCCCCTTGGTCTCCAGAATCCTCCTGCTGGGATCCTGTGTTATTTTTAGCAGGAAAACAATTTTTAGCAGGAATCCTCCTGCTCGTGTATTATTTTTAGCAAGAAAAAGGGAGGTCAGAGAGGGACACTCACAGTCTGGATCATTCTATCCTATTGTAACTGCCATTCTGATCTCTCTTCAGGGAGTCCCTCCTGACTCCTCTGAGCAAGACAATCTTATTTTAAAGGAGATAGATAAACAAATTCAACAACAGGACACTGAGGACAGCTTGGCCTGAGTGTTCTCAACAAAAGTGAAACTACCAGAGCCTCGCTCTGACAAAAAGGAAGTATTTAGTGTTGAAGACTCAAGAGAGCAAAAACAATGTCTTGATGACACTCTTAGT